CGTTCCAGCGTTCGATAGACTAGCCATGCTGGTTCCAGTCGGAGATTTGCCGTGAGGTGAGGGCTACGTGCGTTCGGACTTCAAGAAGTACAAGGATTCGCAAGTGCTTGCCTACGAAAATTGTCGCGACCAACAACTATTCAGACGGGAGCACGAACTCTACGAACAATGGCTGGCAACCCAACCTCCATCGGTTGAGCGGCGAACATATCAGACACCCGCTGGTGTCATGAAGAGGTCGTCTGAGGACGCGCCAGACGCATCAGCAGATCGTCTGACGTGTGCCGAGCGTTGGGAGAAGATTTGGGAGCAACGAGAGCGAGACGAAGGTCGTCTAGACTCTTGGATAACAAACGAGGAAGCGTTCGAGATCCGATTCTCCGGAGCCCTGTCAGACGGCGGTTCAGCAAGTGATGGTGACGATAGCGATACCAACGAAGCGTCGGCCGAACACCTACAAGAACCACGAGGTGAAACAAAGGTGATAAACATAGCAACGTGGGTTCAGCTGGTGTCTGGTGTTGGAGATGGCGCATCAAATACAATGACGAGGGAAACCACGATTGTATCGGATGGCAGCCGTCCAAGTGGCGACTCATCAGCCTCTTACATTGCGACTAGTAAAAACGAAGGCACGACCACCGTTCCAGAGGAGATACACGGTTCGTTAAAGGTGCTGGACACGGTTGCGAGCGTTCGTTTGGGGCCTGGAGTCAAAGCCACGCCAGCGGAGGGGGCGGTAGTCACGTTGGACGAAGGGTACATATCAGTAGCCCACGTGTTGACAACCGAAGATAACGAAATCTTGGATGACACCGGTAGGGACTATGTGAAGCTACCGCGCGACTACCGAGGATTCGTTGTGTCTTTTGGCGGATCAGCCAAGACCGATCAATATGGTGGTCATAGTAGCTGTTCTTGGATATTATGGAGCCTCCCTGAATGGAAGATAGTGATCGCTGCGAACGCTTGTCTCCTGTCCACCACGGTGAACCTCGCTGCATACACTGGGATGAATAACGGTCTCAAGGCAGCTTTAGCACACGGTGCCGAGGATTTAGTCGTTGTGGGCGACTCAAGGCTTCCGACTCCACAGTCACTAGGGGCAGGTCAAAAGGGGTCTCTGGTGATATTGCTGAACACTCACAAACAGCTTACGGTAAAGCTTCGGTCGGTCAAGTACCTTCATGTAGCAAAGGAATACAATGCTGCCGCGGATTCACTAGCCACCGAGGCTCTCGAGTCCAAGATTAGCAGGGTCGTGCTTGCTGAAGCTCGTAAATCCGAATTGGCTACCCTAAATCGCATCCAGGAGGTGATCTACGAGCCGCGTGAAGATGAAGGCACGACAAAG